ACAGGACATTTATCAAAAATGTGAAGTCTGGTGCAGATTGAACATGGTATGCTTGAGTTAGTGTAACGCATGATATATCCTGTTGCCAACAGGTGGCGCTATGATTATAACCGAACATTGACGTGTAGATGTCTTCAGGCAAGAATTCTTACCAAATATGCAATGCTTGGATTGCAGATTGGACATTGCATGTTTAAGTTAATGTAAACAATGTCATTTCCAGTTGCCTGCAGGTGCCGCTATGATTATAACTGAATATTGGCCTTAAGATGTGTTAAGGCCAGGACTTTTATCAAACGTGAAGTTTGGGGCAGATCGGACATTGCATTTTTAAGTTAATGTAAAAGAAGTAATTTCCTGTTGCCAGTAGGTGGCGCTATGGTTATTGGCATGTAAATGTTTTCAGGCCAGGACTCTTATCAAATATGTGAAGTTTGGGACAGTTTGGGCACTGTATGAATGAATTACAACAACTTCCTGTTTCATGATATTAATAGCATGGTTTAGCACTGGTTTAGTAAGTGTTGCTAGCATGTTTTAGCATATTTCTAGCATGTTTAGCACACAATCGCATATTTTACTGTGTTGCTAATAGTGCATCACAATGTAAAACATGTCACTTCCTGTTGCCAGTAGGTGGTGCTATAACTATAACCAAATATGAGCATGTAGATGTCTTCAGGCCAGAGCTCTGTTAAAACATGAGAAGTTTGAGGCAGATTGGACACTGTATGCATGAGTTATAGAAACTTTCTGTTTCACTGCATTAATTGCATGCTTTAACACTTAACTAAGTGTTGCTAAAATGTTTTAACATGTTCTAGCATCTTGCCAGCCTATTTAGCACTTGCTGACACTTTTTAATATGTTGCTAGGAGTCTATTACAGTGTTAAACATGTCACTTCCTGTTTCCAGCAGGTGGCACTATAACTATAACTGAATACAGGCATGTAGATGTGTTCAGGACAGGACTCTTATCAAACTTGTTAATTTTGGGGCAGATTGGACACTACATGCCTGAATTAGAGTAGCTTCCTGTTTCCCTGCATTAATAGCATGCTTTAGCACTTAGGTAAATGTTGCTAGCAGTTTTAGTATGTTTCTAGCATGTTGCCAGTCTATTTAGCACTTGCTGACACTTTTTAATATGTTGCTAGGAGTCCATAGCAGTATTAAACATGCCGCTTCCTGTTACCAGCAGGTGGCGCTATGACTATATCCTATAGATGTGTTCAGGACAGGACTCTTATCAAACTTGTTAAATTGGGGGCAGATTGGACACTGCATGCCTGAGTTACAGTAACTTCCTGTATCACTGCATTAATAGCATACTTTAGCACTTAGCTAAGTGTTGCTAGCATGTTTTTTCATGTTTCTAGCATGTGGCCAGCCAATATAACAGTTGCTGACGCTTTTTAATATGTTCCTAGGAGTCCATAACAGTGTTAAACATGTCACTTCCTGTTGCCAACAAGTGGCGCTATGACTATAACCGAATAAATACATGTAGATTTGTTCAGGACAGTAGTCTTAACAAACTTGTTAAATTTGGGGCAGATTGGACACTGCATGCCTTAATTACAGTAACTTCTTGTTTCACTGCATTAATAGCATGCTATAGCACTTAGCTAAGTGTTGCTAGCATGTTATAGTATGTTTCAAGCATATTGCCAGCTTATTTAACACTTGTTGACGCTTTTTAATATGTTCCTAGGAGTCCATAAGAGTGTTATCCATGACACTTCCTGTGTCCAGCAGGTGGCGCTATGACTATAACTGAATTTGGGCATGTGTATTTGTTCAGGACATATGACACTTTTTAATATGTTGCTAGGAGTCCATAGCAGTATTAAACATGCCGCTTCCTGTTACCAGCAGGTGGCGCTATGACTATATCCTATAGATGTGTTCAGGACAGGACTCTTATCAAACTTGTTAAATTGGGGGCAGATTGGACACTGCATGCCTGAGTTACAGTAACTTCCTGTATCACTGCATTAATAGCATACTTTAGCACTTAGCTAAGTGTTGCTAGCATGTTTTTTCATGTTTCTAGCATGTGGCCAGCCAATATAACAGTTGCTGACGCTTTTTAATATGTTCCTAGGAGTCCATAACAGTGTTAAACATGTCACTTCCTGTTGCCAACAAGTGGCGCTATGACTATAACCGAATAAATACATGTAGATTTGTTCAGGACAGTAGTCTTAACAAACTTGTTAAATTTGGGGCAGATTGGACACTGCATGCCTTAATTACAGTAACTTCTTGTTTCACTGCATTAATAGCATGCTATAGCACTTAGCTAAGTGTTGCTAGCATGTTATAGTATGTTTCAAGCATATTGCCAGCTTATTTAACACTTGTTGACGCTTTTTAATATGTTCCTAGGAGTCCATAAGAGTGTTATCCATGACACTTCCTGTGTCCAGCAGGTGGCGCTATGACTATAACTGAATTTGGGCATGTGTATTTGTTCAAGAGAAATAAAGTTCTACAGGTTTGAAACACCATGACAGTAATTATGACAGAATTAGGTTGAACTATCTCTTTGAAAAGATCACTTGACTTATATTTGAAAGCAGAAAGATTTATTCAAGCTGTTATTACATGGGCATGGACAAATATGGATGCTTTATGCAAATGTATGTTTATTATTAGTGAAACCATACTCAACATAGAGCATAAAGACTAGACATATTTCAAAGGTCATAGATTTTTTTCAAAGAACTTGTTCATGTCTATTAGACACATGAAAAAAGAACATAGAAATACCAGGTTCCCATTACTTCTCTTTCTTTACACTGAGCAATTTACTTACACAAGCCTGTTTACATTTTCGCAGGACAGGGCAGCTCACTTCTTCTGAACATGCAAAATGTACATTTATTATTGATGAAATTAAATACACATAAGATAAAGACAATAGCTGTGCTGTGATTTTGGCTATACTTGCATGTAAAATTAAAAAAGCAACATAATATGTTTTAACTGAAAGCGCGTTGCTCCTCTCAGCCGCTCGCTGAACAATGCAGATGCACAGAGAGCAGTGTGTCTGGGCGGTTTTGAATTTGATTGTGCGGGTAAAAATTGGCTTGGGCTGGTTTGGGGTCAGTTCGGAGGTTTTCAAGCATATAAATTGCATAGGCTAATTGTTTAACAAACAAACCCAAGTATACATGTACTGCATCCAATCAATCGTCACAACTTTACTACACACTAGGGATGGGAAGATTTCCCGATTCGCTCGGCGCATCGGCATAAAAAGTTAACGATGCGATGCATCGATTTAAAAAGTTTGTATCGGCTACAAGTCGGCATTTGTATCGCGATGCATCGTTTCTAACATATTTGCATCGGTAAAAAACGATGAATTTATATATAATTACTAGTGGATGCACTATACACTTTTATTATTAAGAAAGTGACAAATAATCTGTGACCGATATTTTATATGTAGATTGATTTCTCCTCTCTAAACGGTTTCTCAAGTGCATTCTCTCATCACTGCTGCTTCATCACCACAACACCATGGAGACCCGAGGAAAAACTGGGTTTAAAGTCCAAAACCTGACTTGAAATAACCTAACAATTCCATTAATGACTAATTAAAATCACACAATCTCACGAATTTGTGCACGCTTATTCTTAAGCAGCCCTTAATGTCGATCATGGATCAAATTGATCCACCATGACAAACAGCGAATATATTTGTGCTGTTTAATGCATTTGAGATGTTGTGTTTTTCTCACTGCATAACTGACATGTCACAGGTATATTTTTCATCTGTAAATGTTAGAAAGTCATACAAACATATTCATTTCGCTGTCAGGAGTGGGCGAGGAACGCGAGAGCAACGATTGCTGCTGCGCTAAACAGACTGAGCACAATTGAATAGAAGTGCAATAATTATATAAATATACATTTTGCTAAAAAAAAAGGCTATGCATCGAGATGCGTATCGTATCAGCCTCAGTCATGGAGATGCACATCCCTACTACACACACACACACACACACATACACTGCAGAGGCGCTGGTGCTGATGTAAACATCGACAGCCGCACTTATCACGAGGGTTCAGCAGACAGACGTTATGATTCATGAGTGATATGTTTTTAGCGTGATAAGGTATAACGTATCTGATTTTGAATGTAGTATGACTGTAGCCTATATTCAAATAATCACAATGCCAAAATATTTGTTAGAGTGGGACAGTGACTCTCTCAAAATGTGAATTATTGTGGAGTGAGTTGACACGAAGGCTCTATCACTGCAATTCCGAAATCAGAGCACATTTGAATTAATTAATCAAAACCGAAACTATAAATATGTCAGTTTATACGATCTTGTCTTTTATCTTTTAAACGGTCCAGATTGATAAATCCTTGAAAACTGCTAGACTTGATTAGTTTTGACTGTGCAAAGTTCTGTATTATGTTCTACAATATGAACTTAACAAGAGGCTTCCTCTAGTTCTGTGTAAAATTATAGAGCGACACGAAGGTAAGCGTGAGCTTTTGGGCTGGAAATTGTCCATCCAATCTGGCAACACTGACAGAGAGAGAAAGAGGTGTGTGCGCTGGGAAAGCAAGACCTCGCGCTCGCACGGCAGTACCGGCGAGTCTCAGAAACTAAATAAGCCTGAGGTTTGGGCAAACCCTAAAGATTTGTCACTAGGCGCTTTTTTGAAAGAAAAAAGAAGTCACTATGGGCTAGGCCAGGGGTCAAACAGAAATTGCGCGTTAATAAAATGAGTGCAGTTAAAATTAATTTGCGTTAATTTTGACAGCCCTAATATATATATATATATATATATATATATATGCAATACATATTTTATATTTAAAATAATTCGTTTCCATGTGTTTTAATAATCAGTTTTTGCAAGACAGAAGGAGCAGTTGATTGGAACAGCGGTTAATGTACTTCAATATGAATGAAAGCTTTTCAATAATTCAACAAGGTTTTTCAGTTTTAAATGCGTGCACAAAAGGGTTTCAATTTGACTGCTGACATGCTCGTACCTTCTGGTTGTGAGTTTGATCTGTCGTGTTGCGGTGTTGTGATGAGGTTGGGGGACCGCCATAACCACCACCTGGGGAAGGCCGAACTTCTGGTTGACTCCTTAACTGAAAATGAGGACGATTTAGTGACTTTATTAATATTATTTATCTCCTGTACACAAACTCTCAGCTTCATCCACATTTAAATGCCATGTTTGACAGAATCGGCTCATAGTGTATTGCTAAAATCTTAAATTTGAAATTAAAATCTCCATCACAGTGTCTTACTTTTTGATTTTCTTACATCAACTGTCCCTTGAAAAACAAGAGAAATCAGCAGATAAATGAGTCCAAAAACCGTAAAAAGAAAGTTTAATGATTAAGTGTGCCTTCATGGAGATGAAGTATAAACAGTAACCTAGAAGATTAACAGCAAACTGTATTTATTGATTTAAATCTAGAGATTATTTACAGGTGGAGGTGCTCGTGGCTCATTCCCACTTCCATCCCTAAGGAAGATCTCCCTCTGCTTGGATATGGAGGTGGTCTTGTAGAACTCCACAAGCTTGTTTAGAGAGGTAAACTTCTCCGTCCACAGGTAGTATTGGCACGATTTATCCTTCATAACTTTAAAATGTTGTACATCATGCTCGTGTCTGAGCAGACATAAGAGATATAAATAAATGAACGTGAGAAAAATGAAACCTAACTGTTCACACTTATTTGGTATCATATGACAGACTGATGTATGTATATATACATATATATATATATATATATATATATATATAAACTCACTTATAAAAAAACTATGCAGTCATTGAGCAGAAGCTTCTAACTTATTCGAGTTTGATTACCAGCCCTCAGAATGTATTAACGTCCAGCAATTATTAATAAACTGCCATTAACAAAAGCTGCACAACCCACTTTCTGCACTAGAGGGAACCCTCTCTCTCTCTGTGCATTCAGTTTGGACCTACTGTACAGGTGATTTATGAGAGGATGGCTGAAACAAATGGACTGTCTGACCCCTGTAATAAGATGGATGTTATTGATGCATTATTGATGGAGTGTTTCCATAGGCCAGATTCAGTGTGTGTGGGCCGAGATGGCTCAGGTGTGAGGCTCTAGTCTATGAGGATCTTTCATCCTCATGGCTTAAAAAAGACTGACAAGACAATTTGTGGGATTACAGACGCACAGCATTTTAAGGGTGACCTTCATGCGCCAGCTGAAATACTAACACTAGGCTAACAGGACTGTGACTTTATCTCAATTTTTTTGTTTTTATATTTTTTCTTCTGCAGAACACAAAAGAAGATATTTTGAAGAATATTGGTAACCAAATATTTTTGGTTACCACTGACTTCCATTATATTGACGAAAAATGTTGCATAAAACTAAGAAAGTCATACAGGTTTGGAAGGACGTGATGGTGGGTTAATACTGAATAATTTTGGGCGAACTATGCCTTTAAGCAAACACACAGGCAAAATCAAAATCTGCAATCCTAATATAAATCGACTAATTCTATTCTCTCCTCATTTTTGTTACCTGACTGAGATAGAGAAGTCTCCAGGGGAACTCTGGCTGCCACGGATCAGGAAAGCACCCACCTCTCGGGACATGAGCATCTCCTCAGCCGAGCCACGACCGGCGTTCTCTTTGAACCAGCTGTAGGAAATTTGGAATCCAAATACACTTTTGTGTTAATTTAGGTCTTTTACTCTCTCTCTCTCTTTATCTATTTTACAATAACTCACGATATTAACTACTACACTCTTAAAAATAAAGGTTCCAAAAGGGTGTTTTTACAGTGATGCCATAGAAGAATTTGTGCTTCCCAAAAGAAACTTTCAGTGAACAGTTCCTAAAAGAACCATATTGAAAAACATTTTACAAATCTAAAGAAACTTTTTCGACAATAAAGAACTTTTTCTGCATTTGAAAGGTTCCATGGATGTTCAAGGTTCTTCATAGAACCATTGATGCCAATAAAGAACCTTTATTTTTAAGAGTGTACATGCTCACAGGTTTTTTGCATGTGGTAAAAAGCAAACATTAATATCACAAGCATAAGCTCACCTCAGCGTTTGCATGTCAACATAGTTTTTAGGTATGAAGCCCTCATGACCATGTAGCTCTGCCTTGAACCACTCGTCTTGAGATCCCAGGATCTGTTTAGAGCAATATTTGTTCAAATGAATATAAGCCCATTTCTTAAACCCTCAAAAATGGTAAATCATAATTATGAGATTAAAAAGTCACAATTGTAACATACAAAATAAAATTATGACTTAAATACAATTTTGACAAAAGGTCTAAATTACGACAAAAAAAAGTTTAAATTATGATACAAGTCAAAATGATTACATAAAAAGTCAGTTATGACTTAAAAAGCTGAAATTATGAGATGAGATAAAAAGTCAATGACTTGTCATAATTAGGACTTTTATGTTGTAATTTTGACTTTTTAACTTATAATTAGGACTTAGGACTTCTTATCTTACAATTCCAATATTTTATGGTATGCAAGCATGATTTTCATACAGTTATTATTATTATTAAGTATTATTAAATAATTTTTATTTTAATTATTGAAAAGGTTTCAACAGTTTTTTTTTTTTATATAACTATCCATAGTATATATAGTGCAACTTTCACCCCACTGGCTTGATAGGTCCAGGTTTGCACCTACATTTGTGTTTAAAAACCTCTCAAACTTTATGAAGACATCTTGAATGCCTCATTTTCTTATCAGTCATGGAGCATCCCAAGAACTGTATAAACCCATGTTCAGCAAGTATTTTTTTTCTTTCTGCGATGTTTCCAAGAAATATAGCTGGACTTGTCTTATAAATACTTGTTTTTACTGTTTCCTCTGTACACTGTTCCGTTTTTTTGCTAGCATCTGTAACCCTTTTCATGTAGTGGTCAATGCAAATCGTGCACTGAGTGGTCTTTGAAAGCCTTTAGTTTGAGGGCTTCACAACTCTGCAATCAAAGTAAGTGTTTTTTGTGCATTAGAGAACTCTATCACTCACCTTTAGAATGTCTCCTTTCCGGAAGCTGAGCTCATCTTCTTCTTTGCCATTGAAGTCATACTTTCCTCTGGCCTCCATGGTGAACGAAGGGGAGGGTCTACAAGCTACCACAAATGGGAGGAGACACAGAAAGATTAGAGGTTAGAGAAACCAGGGTGGCAAAATGAAGAAAATGTAGAGTAAATGTGTTAACCTCAGGCTTGTGAAAGACCAGAGAGGCCAAAGTCCTGCTGGTGTTCTAGCTAAGCAGAAGCATGCAGCTGTGGTTAGCTGGCTAGAGGCAATTGTATGCAATGCAAAAGTGTGACTTTATTAAAGTGGAGTAAGTTGGTTGTAAGTTTTCATGTTTCAAGTTCTGACCACTCACAAAAAAGGTTTTAATGGGGGGGAAAATAAATAAATAAATGATTGTATTAACCTATAATTGTGAATGAAGAGGTCACAACTTACTATAATACAATGCCTGTGATCTGAGGACGTTGAGACACTTGTTTAACTGGTTTCAAGAGGCCATCACAGCTCCACCTAAAGAAAAGACAGAGACGGGTGAAAATTAACAAACTAAAATGAATGGAAGACCATAGATGAAGCCTACATGAATATGCCCTATTGTATGTTCCAGGTCTTCTAAAGTCGAACCGTACCTTTAGAGTGGCAAACAGACACTCATTATTTAAAGATTTTTTTTAGGCTTTTTAAGCTTTTCTTGCAGAGAACTAACCCTTTAAGTCTTTCCATCATTAACACAAAACTCCCCCGTTATCTTTGCAGTGGGTGCATTGGAGTTATTCTTTAAGACAATGTTTTTAAGCAAGTTGGTTGATGATCATTTTAACCGGATTGGCTGAGAATTGAAAGGTCCTCTCTGTTCTCCTCTGAATTGGGCTTTTCAGAGTGAAGAGGAAAGGAAGGGATGCTGGTAATCAGGATAATTTCCAGCAGGATCAGGAGGAAGGAGAGCTGCACAAACAGCAGAGGAGGAAATGCAGATTAAATTATATTTAATTACTACAGTATGATGCATGTCCTTGCCCATCCTCCATTTGAGATGGTGACCGTACAAGAGAAAACACGTGGGTAAACAAGAAATGTGGCTTTGGCTCCCTATAAGAGGAATGTTGCAGAAGTAAACACAAACCTTTAACCCTTTATCAACTTTTAATCCTTAGTTGAACACAGGTTCATAAAGTCTCCTATCTAGGTCATACACTTACTTTGTGGGGCCAAATTTAAAGCCATTATTCACTAATAATCATCTAATCTGCTGTAGCTCTCTCACAAGTAATATGGACTATTGTTCTGGTACTTTTATGGACTTTTTTTGTTGTCATTTTTGAAACTCAGCAGCCCCAGTCATCATTCATTTTCATTGTATGAAGAACAGTGTGTGAATAGTCTGACTTGTCTTCTAAATGGTTTACTAAACTGTTATTTTTGGTGAACTGTCCCCTTATGTTTAAATGTATAATAAAATATATTAACAAATGCTTATTATTTATCAAAAGGGTTCACTTGTTAAGACCAGAGCAACACAAAAAGGTACCAAAATATTAAAAGGACAAATTACATGGAGTAATAAAAATGAGTCTTACTGTATATACACCTTAAATCTTCTTATGGATCGCATTATGAAGATCTTAACATCCTATGATCTGACTTAAAACACATCACACATTATTCCTACATGGACCTCTGTGAACAGCAGGGGACATTTCATCCAAAATTTCAAGGGGACATATCACACATGTTTTTTGCCTTCTGAAGTCTTGTAAGCAAAAATAAAATATTACGTTTTTTGTATATTTAGCCCTAAATGGTACATATTAGTACTTACCGTAATTAGTACCTGGTGACAGTTTTGTACCTTTTTCTCTCTAAGAGTGTAGAAGTTCATTGCATTTTATTTTCCGATATAATTTTCCACTCCCCTCTTTGGCACTTCAAATTAAACAGTCTATTTTTACTTCTGCACTTTTAAGAAACAGCCATTTCACACATGAAATCAACAACCCAGGCGTTGTTGTGCTGATACGTTTATCTCTTTCATAAAGAGAACATTTTCTAAATGTTTTCATTCAGTACATCAGGCTCAGGCTCTTTTATCACAAAAGACCATGGACAGTTTGATTCCTCCTAATATGTAGGTTATTTTCTTACAGAACTGATAATGATAATGATCTGCAGCTAGCATTGTGCGGCATCTCCCTCTTTCTTACCTGTGAATACAGGCATTGAGAACTTTATTCTCTCAAGCATATTATAGCTTTAAATGATTTCAAAGTGTGCTGCTGCATCAATGTTTGTGATATTGTCTCATAGTTCACAAAGGTGTTTTAGCCCCGCGACTGCACCAACAATAAACGAGCTGATGTATGCTTTCTGCATAAAATACTGTCCATTCTTTCAAAGAGATGCATGTGCATCTAATCATGCCTCTTGGAAAAAATAAAACGACTAATTTTGCAAGGATGGGAAAAGTTTCTGTACGCTTTGTAATATTCTAGTGCTTTTCGGAACATTCCAAAATATTGTGGGACTAGCCATAAAAGACAAAAATCATCAAACTTCTGAAGTTTTGGAAGACTCTCTTTTGGTAACTGTTTATGTTCAACTGATGTTAGCTCAAGTATTATGCATGTACCAAGTAATTTTTATGCATGAGTAATAACAGATTAGCTTGCATAATTGTCAACATATTTTTTTTTTAGTTTTCATGAGCGCTGTTAAAAAGGATACAAAAAAGTATAATTCAGCATGTCAAACTCCATAAAGAAACATTAAAATTAAAAGCGAAACAAAACTTTTATGAAAAATCAGTTACATTTCATGTAATGTTTTTGACCTTACATTGTACATGCTGTGTTAGCCCATCCATGTGCTGGTTTGCAGTGTCCTACTCCGACATAACTTACAATGTCATCTATTTCAATTTGTCACCTCTAGATTACACTGAGCCACACTCTGAGACATGGATTTGAAGTCGTCTGATCCCTCCATTCCTCACCCCTCTGGCCTTGTGAAAAACCATTTCTCAGATGAGCAGCGATTAGATGTGAGAGCTGATCTGTCAGTCATGTTAATGTACTCTGTCAGTTCCACAGTGCTGAGTTATCTTTGCCTAAACTGAGCTCCTGCCGTACTGCAGACGGGGACAGAGGAGACCCACTGATGCATGTTCAAAAAGCAACAACTTCACATGAAACGAAGTGCAAATTGAGCAACATATGATAATTGGAAACCTAATTTATTGCCTGACTATGTGTTACAGAAACTGTCTGCTCTCTTTTCAGTGATGCACAATTAGTGAAGTTTGTGAAGAGGAGAGCTGTTCTGTTTTGGTGTTGTGGATTAAACCGACTTAATTTGACTATGAACGAGAAAGAGATAGAATATAATGAATGAGACAAAATGACACAGAATACATTAGACCAAATTAGATAATTTCTTTGCTACATTAATTAACTAAAGTGAGTTAATATTTCAAAGTTTATCAAAAAGTCCATCAAAAACTTTTTTTTATATACAGGGTCCAAAAGTCCACGTTGAAAATAAGATATTCAAAATCGAATTTAAACTTACAAAAACAAAAACATTATGATGTAAAATGAGTATGACATATTCAAGACTCTACACTATTTCTAGCTCATTAATCAAAAAAGTAGATTTGTGAGATTGATCTTGTGATTCTGTACACATGGTCAGAATTTTTCCTTTCTATCGAAGCTCAAGATTCTCTTTGGATTGTTCTCAAATCATGTTGGAGAACAAGATCATCGGGTTAAATTCATGCTGCTATCATTAAAGCAAAAGAGGTACGAACCAGATTCTAAGAAATTTTGAAATTAATTTAAATTAATAGTGAAATTCAAATTTGCACTGTTTTTTGCACTGATATCATCATGCGTAATTAAAAATGATTAAATAATCCTTAACACTGTCAGTACTGTTGAACCTGTCACAGTTCATCCGCCCTTCACAGATCTGCACTCCATATCATATTCTGCAAACAGTATGCGTAATAATCTGTAATTATCAAGATAACAAAACTAAAACCATGTGAAGAAATGAATACACCTAAATGCAAATAAAAACTGCATTTTGCAAAAACCTGTTGAAAACTGATCTCCTGTTTTCCCTTAAACTTGAACACAGGCCTCAGGGTTCATGCAAACATGATTAGATCAATACAGGCATTACAAGGAAGAAAGACAGAAAAACAAAAAAGCCATTTAAAGACTGAAAGCTGATTTGACTGCTGTGACAGGGGAAGTTGTTTTATGAATAAACACTGAGCTTTAGTCTCATTCCCTCGATACATGGTCTCTTTGTGTTATGTGCTTTTATGCCGAGGCCCAGTGTTTTTTCATACCTTAGGAATATATGCTTTGGGGAGGACTGCGCTGATTTACAACTGGATACAGGGTATGTACAAGTAAAACAAAATGAAACAATTTGCACAATTTTGAATGTAATTTAAGAGTTGATATTACGATAAATTTATATTGGTAGAAATACGGAAATTAGAAACTGCAGTGGAAAAGGGCTTCTGTTGTAGGCTATATGTGACCCTGGACCACAAAACCAGTCTTAAGTCGCTGGGGGTTATTTGTAGCAATAGCCAACAATACATTGTATGGGTCAAAATTATAGATTTTTCTTTTATGCCAAAAATCATTAGGATATTAAGTAAAGGTCATGTTCCATGAAGATATTTTGTAAATTTCATACTGTATATATATCAAAACTTAATTTTTGATTTGTAATATGCATTGCTAAGAACTTCATTTGGACAACTTTAAAGGTGTTTTCTCAATATTTTGATTTATTTATTTTTTTGCTCCCTCAGATTCCAGATTTCCAAATAGTTGTATCTCAGCCAAATATGGTCCTATCCTAACAAACCATACATCAATGGAAAGCTTATTTATTCAGCTTTCAGATGATGTGTAAATCTAAATTTTAAAAAATTGACCCTTATGACTGGTTTTGTGGTCCAGGGTCACATATATTCTATGAGTTCCACATTCCCTTGTTTGTGTGTGTGTGTGTGTGTGTGTGTATACAGTCAAACCAAAAATTATTCAGACACCAGATATAATTTTGATATCTTTTTACTAGTGGGTGCAGGAGTTATTTTATGTAAGTGAGGATAGCACAATAAAGTGAACTGTGACATATTATACCCAAAAATTCTTCAATTGGGATCAAAACATATTTACTCTTTTACCTGACCATGTTTTGCTCAAGTGTTTTTTTCTTTAATTGCTAATGCGACCTTTTTACACCACAGACTGAACAAAATTAAGTATTGCTTGGTAACTGGTTGACCTAAATTGGTAGTATCTAATAGTGTACTTAAATTTAACAGCTGAATAATTTTTGGTTGATTGTAATCCATTACATACCTTTCTATCAAAGTTATCTGACATTATCAAGATGAATTTGTTCCGACACAGTAAACTATAGTGAATAAACTGTGATATAATGTGAGAAATGTTGAAGGTGTCTGAATATATTTTTGGTTTGACTGTATGTATGTATGTATGTATGTATGTATGTGTGTGTGTGTATAGGCTATGTACACCCACTTCTTAAATTCTTTAATATTACTGTTTTCCACATAACAGTAGCTAATAGGCTATACTGCTAGAATAATAGCAAAACTATAAAACAACATATAGGCTACTTAAAAGTATAGGGATCACGTAACGACCAAACACTTGTAAACTTTGTATTTTACATCATAGCTATATTTGAGCTATTTTTTAAAAGTATTGGACTTCCCGATACTTCTAGTGCTCTTCATTCACTATCCAGACCAACATTAATATTTAATGTCATACAGTACGTGCGCACACTTGTCTAAGAAACTAATTTTACGCATTTAATCACGTCTCTAGTCTTTCACATGTCTTTAAATCAACAATTTAGTATCATTAGAAACATAATGCACTGAGATTCAAGACCAGAAGCGAAACGTTCAAACGAGCATCAGCGTGTCAGCGCTCTCGCAGTGGGTTGCAACATGTGTGCGTGTGTATAGGCTATGTACACCCACTTCTTAAATTCTTTAATATTACTGTTTTCCACATAACAGTAGCTAATAGGCTATACTGCTAGAATAATAGCAAAACTATAAAACAACATATAGGCTACTTAAAAGTATAGGGATCACGTAACGACCAAACACTTGTAAACTTTGTATTTTACATCATAGCTATATTTGAGCTATTTTTTAAAAGTATTGGACTTCCCGATACTTCTAGTGCTCTTCATTCACTATCCAGACCAACATTAATATTTAATGTCATACAGTACGTGCGCACACTTGTCTAAGAAACTAATTTTACGCATTTAATCACGTCTCTAGTCTTTCACATGTCTTTAAATCAACAATTTAGTATCATTAGAAACATAATGCACTGAGATTCAAGACCAGAAGCGAAACGTTCAAACGAGCATCAGCGTGTCAGCGCTCTCGCAGTGGGTTGCAACTGTCAAACTTCACACATATATTTTGATCGTTGCAACATAAAACTAGAGGCAATCCAAATGACTTTACCGTTGTCTCGCTGTTTCACTGTCCGGCAACGAAGCAAAGACAAAGCACCTGCAGGCTGCAGCAGAAGTCACCGTCTCAAATCACCCAGTAGGCTACTCAACTGCTAGTCCGCTACCTGCATGCCCTGCTTGGCACACTATGCGCTCAGAAGAACGAGCGGAACCTTTGTCTCCGCCCCTTGAAAAAGGCAATGTGATAGCACTGTATCTAGTCCATCACTGTGCGAAATATTCAGTGACTTTCAATGGGGTTGATATTTAAAAAGATAAAAAAATAAATGAAACTTTTTGTCACTAATTTACCGGCGTTGGTGTTCGTCTTGCACAACCCAAATTGTATTTTGGTAGCCTACCACCTTAGCTAAATGACTAAAAGACGTTTAAAACAAAACATTACGTTTTGTAATATATTTTTGATGTCTAAATTTCATCAATTTAGCTAGGATACACAATAGAAGAAAAAAATCATTTTTGAGGGTCAGATCAGATAGAAATATCTCCTAAAATATTCTTGCTTTTACAGTGTGCATGTGCTGGAGAATGAAATACTAAAGATGCATACACTGAAAACTGAGTTTTGAGGGTTTGAGTATGAAGTTTATCACTTTTATCAGCACAAGATGTGCTTCTTTACTCTAAGAATGCTCTGATAAAACTAGTCAGAACCTGATTTTTTTTCTGCACAGTATGAGGTGGAGTCAGGATGGTTGGGAACTGTTAAATCGTTCTCACAACAGACCTTGTTTTGTCAGAAAGGTGATTATTTATGTATCCTGAAATGAATGTTTTACTTTACAATCAGCGGTGTATGAGAAAAGACTGAGAGGTAGCTTTGATACCTGATTGAGATGTTATCTCATTAACACCTCTGACTAATATATCTGGCAGATGGCATCTACAACGGCATCCTGCTTCCTTTTCTTCAGTGGTAACCACAAGCTCGCACCTGAATATTTTGTGCAAGTGAGGGACATATAATGACTGCGTGATTTTGTGCCTTTGGCCACATCATTGTCTCCACACTCCAGTGTGCTTATACATGAGAATAATATCAGTTTTGCTCAAACTGTGTTTCTTGTTGGTTGTTTGATGTCATTTCAGAAGCACAGCCAGATCCAGATCAGCCAGATCAAAACTTCACAACATTACTTTTCATTAGACGTATGATTGTATGGACTTGTGTAGACTTGATGTCGTTTGACTGTACATTATGTACTAAACTTATATTTATAACTATGTAATATCATTTAAATCACTATTTTATCCTAAATTAATCCTAATGAATTATATAATGTAACCTAATCAGTGTACTGTATATGTAGTGCATTTGCAATGCTGTTTACAAACCGTCATGCTCTAAGACACACAGAGGCAAGTTATCTGAATCTAAATGTGCATCTAAATGGTTTCCAAGCAACTGACTTGGTAAGATATAAAATTGACTGATTTAATAAAACAAGATTGATTTATTGTCCACTATATGAACACTCTGCATACATATACAAGACCATTTAAATGTTTGGGATCATAGTCAAGTCAAGTCAAGTCACCTTTATTTATATAGCGCTTTTAACAATACAGATTGTGACAAAGCAACTGAACAGCATTAATTAGGAAAATAGTGTCAATAATGCAAAATGACAATAGTAAACACTCATTTTTCAGTTAAAGACAGTTCATCACATACTTTTTTTTTTTTTTTTTAAAGAAATGAATACTTTTAATTAGCAAGAAATTCACTGAATTTCATTAAAATAAAATAAAAATGAAAGTAAAGAAATCAAAATAAGACTTTAACATTGTCCTTTTTTTTAAAAGAAATTGTGTTCTTTTTTAACTATCTATTCATCAAATAATCCTGAAAAATCATGGTTTTATTAAGCGGTACAACTGCTGTCAACGCTGATAAAATAAACAAATCAGCATATTAGAATGATTTCTGAAGGATTATGGGACACTTAAGACTGAAGTAATGACTGCTGATAATTGAGCTTTACCATCATACAAATAAATATTTTCACATTTCAATAATATTTTACAATTCTAGTATTTTTACATATATATATATATATATATATATATATATATATACACACACACATTTATGGGCTTTTTGTGACTTTTATTTTAAGAGGACAGTGGAGAGATGACAGGAAAGTATTGGGGTGCAGAGAGGGGAGCGGGATCAGCAAAGGATCTCGAGGTGGGAATCAAACTCGGTTTGCTGTGAGCGCAGTTGCGCTGTATGTCAACGCACTAAGCACGAGGCTATCGGCACCGATTTTTACTGTATTTTTAATCATATAAATGCAGCCTTGGTGAGCATAAGAGATTTCTTTAAAAAAAACATTTGAAAAAATCTTACTGACAATATCTTCTTGGTATTGTGTCTATAATGTTCTTAGACCGAAGGTTTTAGGTAATTTCCTAGTTATTTATGCAATAAAGTTCTTGGTGTGTAACGTTTTGTGGCAAAGTGAGAACAAAGTGAGTCTTTTTCTCTGTTTCAAATCATGTCTCCTTTCTTCTGTTGGCATTTTTTGTTCTTGAGTCTCTGTCTAATGACATTTCTTCTTGTCCCTCTCAGCAAGGAAGAGCATATTCTCTTGAGTCACACTCCATGAAACTGTGTTAAATCCAGCTGAGGCTTCTCTCTTACTGTGATACGATCACTCACATTATCCGTATGTGTGTGAGTTGTTCTAGAATAACTTTATTGCTGACGATGGTGTTTTGTTTCCATGGCAACTGCTGGGACCGGTTCCCTTTGCCACTGAGGAGATGAGGTGAGTACTCCGCATGCAGCAGATGGTCAGGAAGAGGAAACTGCTAAAGAGGCCAGAATACTGGTCAAAGAGAGAGAATGAGAGAGAGAGAGCAATTATCAATGGATAAAAATTCTGTGCTGATGCCATTAATGAATGAGGGACAAGTGTAGTTATCCTCAAAAGGTTACTAAAACTAAAAGATAGGTATGTACCTGACAGACAGGGCCAAATAATCTTAGACCACTGAAGCAGATATCTATTTATATAGGCTATCCTCCCTAGTAAAATTTTGTCACCCCTTTATTGTTGTGTACTTTTCTCTGCATTGTGGCTGATTTGTAGATTGTACACACAAAAACATTTGTATTTTCTTATTTTTGCCTAATTACCATTCATGGCGGTTATTTTTGACATCGAACAACATAAATGTGACTATTTTTTTACGACCATTTAGCTTTTTCGAATAAAGTCACGATTTTTTTTGGGGGGGTGGGGTGTCACATAGCGACTGACATAAAAGTCACAGAGATTCGTACCATTCCGAGAAAGTATTTTTAAAATTTCCAAACATTTTTTTACCATTCCGATGAAGTATTTTTTAGGATTTCCCAAAAAATTTTTTTGGTCTAAAATGACTGAAAAACACCAGAAGCCGGGCTCTCAAGTTATAGCAAAAGTTTGGAGTGAGATTAGGGGAGGGGCCACTAAAAGGGGAGGAGCCATTCAAATATTTGCAGCACCCAATTCTCTTAAGTTTTCGCTAGCAGTTCAATTTTACCTATTGTTCATTATTGACCTGAACAAACAGAAATGATAACAACTGGTAAATCTGATTTAAAAAACCCAGACAAATTCATCCAAATAAAATAAATAGGGTTATGTATTTAAAAAATACAAAAGTATCAAAAATAAAAAGAAATGGCCACAAATGAAGAGCAGTGCTCAATGTACATACTGTACACATACAGTAGGATTGCAGAACTTGCCCTGCGGATGTATGTCAAGCTCTGTGAGTGTGTGTGTGTGAGAGAGAGAGAGAGAGAGAGAGAGAGAGAGAGAGAGAGAGA